ACATGAATCAATACACTGTGAATGCACAATCTACCATACTACATACAACCCAGACATTATATGATTGTCATCTTAGTGATTATGATCATTGGCCCAGTAATAACATAATTTATGCAGGCAATGCTGAAACTACAATGAGTATCACTTACTGTGACATTTAATCACTAAAATATTCTATAATATTACAGAGATCATGTTATTATAAATAACTGATCATACTACAGACAAACGTTAGAAGGATTGAGAAAGCAAACACTACTCATCTGCTATTAATATTATAATAGTACAAATGATAGACACTGTCAACAAACACACATATGTTATAACATAAATCAAATAATAACATATATGACAATATCACAGCCAAACAATTAATGTAAGACATGTCTTGGGTACATGTCTCAGATATGTCAGACATGTCAGATATGAGATAAACAAGTTAGTGGATATCCATCTAATATCTAAGACATCTGATATCTATGCACTAATACAGCTTATGAAAGTGTACAATTATCTACAGACAAATTAATAATAATAATAATAATAATAAAGTTACAAAGTACATTACAGTAACTATGGTACAGGAACAAGTACACAATTATAGTCTTTAAACAAATAACAATACTTTACACCTATGATAGTGTAAATATATAATAACAATGTATAATAATGGTGAATGGTAGAATAATACCTCTACCATTACTACAACAATGTAACAGAACATATTTAATTGTACAGAACATAGATATACATTAACAAAGTATAAATAAACTTATATTGAAGCTACAAAGCTTATATACAAGTGAAGTACTATGCTAATATGGCTAGTACAACAAACAACAGAAAAACTACAATGGACACACTTATTATAATGATTACAAACAAAAGCAATCATAATATAATAAGATTAAATAAATTAATAAAACGTTTAACACATTATCTCAGACAGTATAATATATAAAGAAAAGCAGACATAAGCATATCTATTACATCTTATCAGAGATATGAATAGATGTGCAACTAATGTTGTAACTGCAAACATGCAGAGAGATTTCTTAGCACGTTTGAAATATTACAGACATACTACAAACATCACATTAAAATTTATAAAACAAACAGCACAATGTTACAGTGTAATGTTTAAACAAAATGATGTATGTCAAACATTATGAGTTAACTTAAAACATACTGTTATATTATAACACATACTGACAAACATACAAAAGTAAAACAACAAAGTATTAATACTACTCGTTGGATTACAAATACATGAAAGGAAATCAACAATGTACTTATGTACTTACACTACTTGTCAATTACTCAAAGAATAGCCTTCTCAAATTGAAGGGGAGTAATTGAATAATATACATGCTAATGATGAACATCAAATTCTTAATACAGACATATTGACTACATCACTAAGTGAAATCCACGATGAATCCGACGAATCCGTCAAACACAAAATACTTTATTAAAGAATATAAAAGTTATACATTACATAACATTTTCAATGCTTATAAAAGTTATTCAAACGGATAATTAATAAATTAATAATAATAAAGCCTAGAAATGGCACATATTCCCAAAGCGTTCTTTGCAGCAAATGTGCAAACGTTCACAATGTGAAACTGTAGATGAACAAATGAATATTCATGACACAGAAACGTCAATCTTATTGCTGATCCTAAAAAACAATAAGTAATAGAAGTTACAGACAAATATAATGGATCACAAAGGTAAATCATTCAATGCAACACAAAATAATGTTGATTGGAACAAATAACAGAAGTCAATACAACATGTGATTGAACTTCAACGTTAAATAAATAATAATTCCACTATGAAACGAATGCTCATACTTGGCAAATAATATTAATATAATAATCTGATTAACTTAACAAAGTTTAATACAAAAATAAATAAAATACAGACAATTATCACATCATATAATAAAATAATTCATCAATCCAGACTATAGTTCATGGATAAAAGTGATGAATAACGAAAATAATACTTCAGAACGTACATAAAACAATAAATAATATATCCATACAATAATACAAATATAATTGTAATATAATTCACAACTACAATCAAACAATACAAAGATAATAACTGTACAAACAAGTATGGAGCACATACATATAATCAAATAAAACTATTAAATCAATTCTTGTACAAACAATTAATTTGCTCTCACTGTGTGATTAATACAAGTGTGAACAGCATTATAACATTATGAAATACATTGGATAGATACTAATAAGTATATCTATACAATGATTCAAATAAAATAAACAAAACCAATATATAAAACACTTTACCTAGCAAATCAATTAACAAATAAAACATTGAACAAATACTACAATTGTACATACTACTAGATTAACTAAAGTATGCTAGGAGACTATTATAGTAAACATAATCCAATATATCACTTATATGCAGATTGTGTTACAATACATTATTCTTTGCAAAAGAAAAAGCAAAGAATAATAGTTATAACATACACATATATATATACAATACAACAGATTGTATAGTTACTCAGGATGCATCAGAAACAATCAATTAACAAACATAATGTTAATAAATTAATACATAACTATAAACAATAATGTAAAGCAAATGAACAAACAATACATTCATGATATAATACATATATGATACACCTAGACACATAGTAAGATGCCTACAGCTAGACATAACATCTATGCAACAAATATATGTTAGCATAAAACCTCATTGATCTTAGAATGAAGCAATCTGGCAAAAACAAATATTATTATTGATATTACAATATACAATTGATGCAAAGCTTCAATCCAAAGACATAAATCAGTTATTGCTGAATGCTTAATGCATATACAAACGTAGACAAACGTGGACAGCAATGATTAAAGAAGGATATTATTGCAACATTGAATATACATTTTACTAGCATGATTCATTAGTTTCACAGCAAAGTAAAAGGAAATTACTAGAGTACTCAAACAAACTTAATAACAAACGAAATGACTGAATAACAAATGATAAAACGAAACAAGCAATTACATTTATGATTTAAATATGTGTATATATGTACCTATGCATGCTGACAAGATTCTGCAGGTCTCTGAAGCATTTATAAATTATTTAATAACATTTACAAACAATCTATTGTAATAATGATGCTGTTATTGAACAGTATATTACGAACAAACAAACTAATTAAATATACTTAATCAATATAACATTGGACGAACTTAACACAAAGTGGATGACATTCAGAATGGACAGCACACAGAACAGACAATGCATTACTACAATGCTAATAATATTATTATTAACTACATCAAGTTATAAATGTGTTACACGAACGAACAATTGTACAATACAGTTATAATGATTAAACTATCTAC